GTAGTGCGCAGCTGTCTCTGATCACGGGTGTCTTTGGCTTTGAAGACAGTAGCCTTTCCCTACATCAGTGGTCCCCGAAGTGTGGTCCCAGAGCAGCAGCAGCAGCATCACACGGGAACTTGTCATGAATGCAGATTCTTGGGCCCCATTCAGCCTACTGAATCAGAACTCTGGGGTGGGGTCCAGCAAACTCTTTCTCAGGTCCTCCCCATGACTCTTGTACACGAGCAGAGTCAAGAACCCCGGGCTTAGTTTGTGAGCACAACCTGCATAAAACTTGCTTATACTCATTGCAGAGAGAACTCAAATTCTGTTGGGTGTATTTTTTTTTCTTTCTTCCTTTTTTTCAATCATTTTTGAACAAACATAGATCACTGATATATGGTACTTTGATATACCACTGCGGAGTCACGTGGGTTTAGGGTTAGGAGGCAGGCAGTCTGGGAGTGGGATCCCAGATTCATGCCTATTGTCATAATCTTGGCAAGTTACATGACCTTTTTGAGTTCTGGACTTGTCTTCTACAAAAATGAAATAAAAATGATGAGATAATGCACAAAAAGCAGTTAGTTCAATGCCTGAAATGTACTAACCACGTAATAAATAAATATATTTTTCATTGTAATCACCATCATTAAAGACAATAATACCAGTAACATGATAATGGATGGCGTGAGTAGTGAAGTTTATGTATTACATATTTTGCAAAGCTCCAGAGATGCTCCTCTACTTAGGATTATTACTATGGAATGGGCTTGATTTTTCCATTTTCTTTCTTTTTTTTAATTTTTATTTATTTATGATATTCACACACACAGAGAGAGAGAGGCAGAGACATAGGCAGAGGGAGAAGCAGTCTCCATGCACCAGGAGCCCGATGTGGGATTCGATCCCGGGTCTCCAGGATCACGCCCTGGGCCAAAGGCAGGCGCCAAACCGCTGCGCCACCCAGGGATCCCGATTTTTCCATTTTCAAAATGAATTTCGAATTCATTTCTTTTCTTTTTTTTTTTTTCAAAATAAATTTCAAATTCATTTCAGTATACATTTGTGATATCCCAGAATATAGAAGGTGCTTCACTGTTTTGAGATATTTTTTAAGTAGAGTGATGATACCAGTTACCAATATATTGGGGAACGGATATCAATATCTGTTGAATACTTTTTAAAAATTAAATACTTTAAATCTTTGTTCTGTATTAGCTTAAGGCTTTAAATTGCACTTTTTAACATTATTTGAGATATAATACACAAAATTAATTAAATTATCACAAAATTAAGAGGTTGTGTTACTGTGGACACACATCTAATTTCAGATTAAAGTGTCTATTTTTAAAAAAACCCATCTAACCATATTGTGATCTCCGTATAGTTAACAGTACAATTTCAATAGTGTTTTAATACAGAAATTTTCAAATAATAATTCACCTACAGTAATAATATAATCCCTATATTTTACTCAGTGAAGCTTATGCCAATTATTTCTTGTTTATTTGTACCAATCAGTGAAAGAAGCCCATTTCTGTCCCCTTTGTTATGTTTTTTTCACACATACAAAAGGCTATCATCTTCTCTGTGTCTTTTTTTTTTTTTTTTTTTTTAGAGTGAAATTTTCAGGTCTCACAACCTCCTCTCACAGCTCGTGTTTTCAAGATCTTTTTATCATTTGTATTGTTCTCTACTGAATGCTTGGCAATTTGTCTCTTTTCTGAGATGTGGTGTTCTGCTGAACTCAGTTCCCAAATCACAGCCTAACGAGACCTGAATGGAGCTCGTCTGTTTTTATGCATGACATCACCATTACAATTCAACACGCTGTAGCATTTGAATATATTAACGGGGATCAGAATGTCGACTCATTCAATTTATCATCCACTGTAATCCTCGATTTTTTTTTCCTCTCTGCTGCCACCATCTCTAACTTTTCAATGCACGTTTTGGTTCTACTACCTTTCCCTACACCAACTTTCTATTTTTTAGAATTTTTAAAGGCTTATTTATTTATTATTTATTTGAGAGAGAGAGAGAGAGAAAGAGCCCAAGTGGGTTGGAGCTGAAGGAGAGGAAGAAGAGACTCCTTGCTGAGCAGAGAGCCCACAAGTGGGGCTGGATCCCAGGACCTGGGATCATGACCTGAGCTGAAGGCAGATGCTTAACCCACTGAGCCACCCGGGAGCAACCTCCCTACACCAACTTTCACATCCATTCTATTTTCCTAAATCCATTCCTATTTTCGCTGACTGGACCCATCACCCCAGCTGTAAAGTAGCCTAGCACCCCAGATCTGCAATCCCTGATATTTCCATGACTCACTGTCCTTTAGACTTATTAGCATAAATATACATCATCTCCCAAAACACTGTATAAGTATCCTATTGCATTAGCTTTGGAAGCTTTTATAAAGGATGATTTTTAAGGTTCTTGTTAAACAAAAACAAGCAAACACAACTGACTGGTGTGTTGCTTCAGACACATGTATAAAGAAACCCTCCCCTCCCCTTCCTTGACTCAATTTAGGAAATTTAAGTGGAGCATCAACGAAAGGATCACACTATTGTTTTATTATTAAGATGTCATTGAAAAAAATAAGGACACACAGGTCTCTGCTCTTCACACACAGGTAGCTCAGTGAGTACCCTGTACCCTCACTGCAGGAGGTCACTTGTATATGCAGGGACATGTCATATGGTTGGTTGAGCAAATTTTAGTAAACACAACGTTAGTTCCACTTAGCAAGTTTACTTGCCCACTCATAGAAGAAAGCAAAGCAGGAGAATATAAAAATGATGAGAAATAATAAAAGAAACTTAAAGTATTACACACAAATTTAGTTATTTCGCCATCAACCAATGACAGAGTTATCAAAACCGAAATGAGCTGACACCTCCTACTTGAACTTTCATTTGTAAGGGAATTTTGAAAGTGATGGATTGTTCAAAATCACAAATCAAAATTTACTACACACATTAAAGTAACCAGCAGTCCATGTGCCTCCCTCCCTGGAAGCCTCATCCACCCACCTTAGGGCTTCCTGCACCTGCCCCTGCCTCCCATCTGCCCTTGTCCATCCAACAGGATCCCGCTCACCCTTTAGGAGTGTGAATGCGATTCCTCCCAGGCAGTAAAAGCCCTCCCTTCTTGATCTTGTGCTTAGCTCCTACTTCGAGCAACAGCTATTTGTTTATAGAGCTGTTCTCTCTACTAGTTTTGAGCTCTCCCTCTTCTCTGTGCTTTCTGGTCACCAGCTGGCATTGAGAATTGCTCTGCAAAATTTTGTTCAATGAATGAATTATTTAAAAAATAGCGTTTCCCCAATAGCTATACTTTTATGGGTTTAAAAGCGACTATCAATAAATAAATAAATAAATAAATAATAAAGGCAATTATCAGGTCTGAGAAAAGGCATATGTCTGTAGCAAAATGAAACAAAAGACTAATCAAATAAAAAGCAAAATGGGGAAACACAGAGACAACCATCTTCAAATAATATATTTCACCTTTTCTTCTCATAGGTACTTATGATTATGTTTCCTAATACAATTTTGAGTGTATTGAATTTAGACAAATGTTTATGTGTTCGTTGCCTAAATATATGTGATAGAATTGAAGAAGGTGGTAGAAGAAAAGGAACATAAAGTTTTTATTAGAGCATTTTCCAGTTTGATTCAATATGTTTCAGAAGACTTAGCAAAAAAAAAAAAAAAAAAAGGATAATCATTAGTAAAAGTCAATAAATGAGAATTTATTCCCTAGACTTTAGTTCTAGGGAAGACGGGGGATAGATGTAATCACTGTCTTGGCGTACGTGATGGATCTACTGAGATATGATAGTGATAAAATATTTTCTTCCTTAGCTCAGGATAAGACCAGAAATGGTTCACTTTAAAGAGCACACAGAATAATGGTAAAGAAGGTGACACAGTACGACAAATTACTTAGTAATGCAGGGACAAGGATTTCTCTCGCAGATTTGTGAAGCAGGATAGCTGTCCTGACTGCGCTCTGGAGTCACTTAGATACTACAGTTAAACCTACGTAACTTTTGACAAGACAAAAAGCAACTTGTTCCTTAAGTATATTACACCCTCTGTGGTTCTCTACGTTCACCTAGAACAAGTCTCTTTCTCTGTTCCCATGGGGTCATCCCAGCCACTCATCTCGGGGACAAGCCCATGACGGCATGTGGAGTAGAATCATGTCGATAAACAGTCCCCTGGCTCCTCACCCTTCTAATGAGACCCTCCTTAATGCAGGGGCCAAAGACTGGGGAGGAGTGATGAGAAATGGCCCAGAGTATAATAAACAGAACATAAAGTCCTCGGAAATACAAAGACGCGTTAAGAAGGTCTAAAAAAGTCATAGTGAAAAGATCATGGTCTTCAATTTTTTTTTATGTTTAATAGTCTTTGCATTAACATTAGCAAGTGACATTTAGTATAATATTTTTTATCAAATGTAATTCTACTAAACAATTTTGACATCACATTATGTATTAAAATCCTGTATTGTGAAATTCCAAGATAAGATACAAGTTTAAGGTCTCTGTCAAGGGTCACTAAAAGAGGAAAGATCTTTTCTATAACCTTTCTGGCTTTTGGTTTTAATATCAACATATGTTATACCACTTTACTTATATCATACGCTTGCAGTTGTTTTATGAATAAATACCACAACCTTTATAAAGAACCTTAGAACGTGACCCACATAAAATTATTTTATTCTTATGGAAGAGCAAAGCTATCCAAATTCAAAATAAGCTGACACCTTATGTATGAAGAATAAAGACCTAGATTAAGAAAGTCTAAAACTCCACAAAGCCTCCCAAAGGTAATTGTATTGTGGCTTTTACGTTGTTGCCTTGTAAGCTACGAACCCGAAACACAATTTTGCAGTGTGTTTTCTTGTCTTGCTTTTCTCCATTTAAAAAATGCAACGCATCAACTGAGAATCTGAAAACAGTATTAAATCATATCAGAAATATAGGATTCGGTTCAATTTACCTGTTCCTGTTGCTGGAAATCCAATCTGAAATAAGTGTTGATGCCTGCTGGTGACAGTGCTTGTTGCCAAAACTGCACGCCAGCATTATAACTTCTCTACGTAGTTCTCTAGGTGCCATCGAAAGGAAAAACAATTAAAAAGCAGTGTTAGTATCTGAGAAGGAAGGATAACTCATTATATCAATAGTAGGTAAGTAAATAATCAGCACAAAGGTAATTTTCAGACACAGAAATCCTATTTGGCTGAGGAAGAGATGGTTAGGCAGCGGAGAAATTACACGTACTACACGTCTTCTCTGGAAATAGTAATACGGTGGGGGGCATGGGTTCAAATCTCACTTTTACCAATAAAGGCAGATCTTACACTAAAGCATAGCTAGTACATGCTTTTGTTCTCAGTAGCAGGTAGTAGAAACTGTGCTTGCTACCCATCAGCAGGCCTCCCAGCAAAGGGAAATGAAAGATGCAGAATGAAAGAAAGATTATCTCATGCTGCCAAAGACGCAATGGACCCCGTCATATGTTGCCATGCAGCTCTGGGGGAAAAGAGGAGAGTAAGAAAATAAAACAGTACTCATGTTGGTAGGATGCTTGAACAAGAGATCCATTAAAGTTGTTTTTTGGCCATCCCAGCTTGATGTACGTTGTTGCGACTTGCTTTAAAATATATTCCTAAATGGGGGTGAGGGGAAATAAAGACCATGTCAATTTCAAATGTCTCCATGCTAATAATTACAATTAGAAATACAATTAAAATATTTTCTAAATGTACCTACTTTAAAATGTCAGCAGCATTATGGGCATGCTAAATGCTCTAATTTTATTCTGCTAAGTATTTCAAATACAGAAAAGAAGGATAAAATACAATTACAATGGTGGACATCTACCCTTTATTTCCTATTGATTCAAGTAATTTGCTTTCTAGTCAATATTTTAGATGATTATTTTTGTAGAAAAGCAAGGAAACTGAGGAATGTCGACAATGACACCCACGCACACACATATATGCAAATATATGTAGATTTCGCTGGGAGGGGGAGAAGCACCTAACATTTATGCATTTCCTGTGAATAGAGCACATTTAATGCAAAATTGTTATGTAAGCCCAGCATTGTTGAATCTGACAGACACCGAACCCTCTTTAGTAAAAAAATATGGCATTTCAAAATCAACAATCCATTGAGCACTCGGTGTTATTCTGTATGTTGGCAAATTGAACACCAATAAAAAATAAATTTATTATTTAAAAAAAACAATCCATTGAGCTAATGATATATTTAAATATTAGCAGCAATGTGAAATAGGCTCTCCTCACTTTAATGCAGTCCTTGAATTTTGTCAAAGGAATGGAAGCACTGAAATTACAGTAAAAGCAAATCTTAACTTTTACTGAAATTGAAGGCTCTGACACAAAATACTATTTCAAATGACAAACATATACAAAAACGCAGTCTACTTGTACGGAGGTTTAACACTGCAGTGTCTCTGTTAAAGAGACAAGAGGAGCGTAATAAGGCTTTCCCTCGCAAACCAAAGTCACACCGTGTGCGTGCTGATACATTTTTTTGCCAAGTCTGTTGTAAGGGATCAGACCAAACTAATGACAATGAACAGTCAAGCTAGGATTATTCCAATTAAAAAGGAGACATATGTTAAAACAGAGGTGTCTGCATGCAAACTTAGAACAAGGAGACAAGAGGCGACTCTGACTGCCACCCAACCATGCAGAGGGTGCTAATAAACCGATTTCATGCCACAGCAATCCAGACTCGAGTAATCCCAAACGTGGAGGTTAATTAGCAGAGCCAGTGTGTCACAGACAGAGGACAGTTTTATATAACACAGGGCCGACTCCCGAAGGGAGCCAAACCATGCTCAGGACGGGCTACAACTCCCGGAGGCAGGGGCCCAATGCAAAGCCTCGGTGGTGGCAAATTGAACTCCACTTAAAAAAAATTATTTATTTATAAAATTTTTATTTAAATTTAATATATAATTTATAATATATAATTTATTTGTATATATATAAATATATTTATATATAATATATAATTTAATTTTATTTTATATATAAAAATGTTATATATAAGATTTTTATATATATGTGTGTATACACATACATATATATACACACATATATAAATACATACATACATAAATATATATACACACACACGCATATATAAAAGAAATTTAGGAATCAAAAGTCCATGAGCCATACTTAATCCTAATTTTATTCCAAACAGTCATTAAGTTAGATCAGGTGGGGTCCTCCGTGAAGTGTTGGCTCACCAGGCCTCAGCTTAGGAAAGCTGGTCAGGTAACGTTTTGAAATGTTTGTCATGTCTTGGCATCTATTTGGATTATCTATTGTTTGCTCTCCTGTGTCCCCTTGGACCCAATTATGAATGGGCTCTCGCCTCGATGTTGATCTTATCCCTGTTAATTAAGGAAGTGAATTGAATTCACTCTGCCTTTTGGATAAAAATAATGACTAAGAATCTTTACTGAAACTGTCTACATTCTGTGAAGATCTCTGGGATCCCTGTACCGGGGGTAAGTCCTCTGTGAGCACAGAGCCCTTTAACTCTTGGAAAGTAAGTTTGAACTTTAAGGATTTGCCATGTATATTTGTTCTTGAATTCTGAGGCGTTTTAAGCTTAATTGACACTTTCGGGCCAGAATCAAAAAAAAAGTAGCTTGTATTACATTTATTCTTCAAGTAATTGTCATCAGCGTTGCACGGAAAATCAGGACAAAAAAATGATAATACAGATGAGAAGAAGAGACACAAATAAGTCAAGGCCAGTTGTATAAAGTGGAAAATGAGAAAACAGTTCATCATCTGAAAATAAGAAGGAAGAAAATCTGTCTTTTTACATTGAAGACGTTGTATTTCTCCATGCGGTCCAGTAATTTATCAAGGGGGTAAAGAGCTCGGCTGGCAGCGTGCCACGGAAGAAAATCCTTCTCCTCGGACAGGTATCTGATAATCTCCAGGGGGATATGCTGAGGCAAATAGCCAGCCCTGCGCAGTTGAAAAAGTTAATGTTAATTATATGCAGAAAATATACATGATGATGCAAAAATGAAGATTTTACTTATGCAAAGAAAGGGCAGAAAGCAAGATTCATCACAGTATAAAGAAGCCATACTCAGGCTATAAAAATAAAATTACTCACTTTTTAAATATAGTCCTACTCAGGGTGCCATGTGCCTTAATATATACAGAGCTAGAGAGTTAAGAATTTACATACACAAAAATATCAGAATGCATATTTTTTTTTTTAAAAAAGGAAAGAATTCTGGATTTTGAATCAAATCAACTCTAGCTATTTTCCTTCACAGAGACTCTTCAGAGGTCACATGAAATTGAAAATAATTGATTACTGAAATGCAATTTTAGTTTCTCAATGCATTTTCTCTGCTCTTCATGTAGGTTCTGTGTAATATTTAATGCTGATTGTTTTCAAGAAAATAATCAAACTAAAGAGGCGACATACAGTTTTGACTGTATCTATGTCATATTACAATTTGAGCGTTTTTCAAAAGAAATGGTTTCCATAACACCTATGAAAATCTCAGTTATATTTTAATAGAGTCCAAATTCCAAAAAAAAAAAAAAGTTGAAAGAATAGGCTCTTCCTATTTATTATTTTTCTTTCAAAATCGATGACTGTGTCACCTTGGGGACCAATGTCAGAGTCTTTGGAGAATATGAAACTGCAGGTTTTTAAAAATGATCTGAACACATGTTGCCCATATTTAAAGAGGATATATCCAAAAAAGGGTCCAAAAGGAAGTGTATATCTCTGCTCCCCAGGAGACTGCATATAAAATCCTTGCAAATCAAAGCAATATAAATGACAATCCGCCGTACATTAAAAGATGGTCTGTCTTAGCCTCGGTGTCCCTGATGCATACGCATTGTGACACTGTGTGTTTTGCTGTATTATTTTTTTTTACATGAATAATCAATGGAACGCAGACTTTTAATAGAGGGACCAGGTAAATAATGAAAGCAACCAAAGCCTGCTTATCTCCTTTATCTACTTTTCACACTGTTGTTCTTTTGTGACATTACAAAATTAGACATAGGCCTTTTAATTCGTGCGTGGGAGACGGTGGACAGGCAGGGAGCAAAGCCTTTGCTCCTCTCCACTTAAGATAAGTTTGCCAGATTATCTAACTCTTACTGTGACAAGCAAAAGTCACTTGACAGGAAACGTGCGGCAGGTTTGTGATGGTCATGAGAAAAACCAATTTTGAAGGCCGCACTTCAGCTTTCTCCAATTTTTTTTAAAAAAATGAACGTGTGTCACTCTAAGGATTCTGGTTCACTCATGGGCCCATCAGCCATAGTCAATATCTGCTATAAACACGAATTGGGGGACTAACCCCAAATTTCCACATAATTTCATAATTTCCTAGAGCCCGTCAGATTTAGATTACATCTAGACTTAGGCCACTTTTCTTGTACAGTTGCCATTTTGAACAACCTTGCAGAAAAAGCATGAGTTTATTGGCTATGTCAATGGCATTGAAATAAGGAACTTTCCCTTTGTTGTTAGGGTAGCACAGTACCTCAATAACAAGTACATTTTGCTTTTAAGAGCTTACTACCCATGGGGGCGCTCGCGTGGCTCAGGGGGGAGGCGCCTGCTTTTGGCTCAGGCTGTGATCCTAGGATCCCGGGACCCAGCCTCCCTTCCCTCATCAGGCTCCCCACTCGGCACGGAGTCTGCTCATCCCACTTCCCTTGCCCCTGCCCCCCACTAGCATGTGCACAGGTACTCTCTCTCTCTCAAATAAATAAATAAAATCTTAAAAAATATCTGCTAACCACTGAAAAGGCAATATAATTTTTTAAAGATTCTATTTACTTTTTCAAGACAGAGAGCACAGGCAGTGAAGAGGGGCAGAGGGAGAGGGAGAAGCAGACTCGCTGCTGTGCAGGGAGCCAGAAGTTGGACTCATCCTAGGACTCTGAGACCACGACCTTTGCCTCCTGAGATCATGACCTTAGCCAAAAGCAGACACCTAACTGAATGAGCCACCCAGGTGTCCAGCAACATAATTTTTTTAAATAAAAATAATGACTTGGCTTTCCTCCCTAAAAGAAATATACTTTCCAATATTTCAGATTTTGTCATTTTTCCCCTGAACTTTTAATTCTAAATATTAATTGGCATGATCATAAATTTATAATCTACATGCCATGGGTTATATAACTTTAGAATTGTAGATGATTTATCTAGAAGCCATTGTTCTTTTGTTGCAGAAATAAGAAAAATAATGCAGAAACAAACAAACAAACAAAAACCCTTGAATGAGCAGCTAACTTACTATGGATCTTCCAGTAAGTTTGTAAAATCTAGAGCTGTTGGATTAATTTTATTGCAGATTTAAACATAGTAGCCTTAGGTCAGTTATGATTTATTGCATTTTACTTCATCACTGTAAATTGATAGACATTATTCAACGACTTATGCTTTGTTGAAAATATGACTAAAGAAGATGACAAATAATGTTATGGAAGAGACTTGGATTTGAAGAAAGCTGGGAACTACTAATGCATCCGATGGAATTAGACAAACACATTTATGTGCCAAGCCTCAAATTCCTCCTCTGTGAAATAAGACAGTTGAAAAGGAGAACCTCTTTTTAGTTCCCAAAACCTTTTATCCTAACTTACTTGTCTACAATTTAAACTGCTGAAAAAACATTATAAGAATATGGTCATATTTTATTTGTTTAAAAATCTGAAAAAAGGGGCACCTGGGTGGCTCAGGTCATGACCCTGGGGTCCTGGGATCGAGTCCCGCATCGGGTTCCCTGCATGGAGCTCGCTTCTTTCCTCTGCCCATGTCTTTGCCTCTCTCTCTGCGTCTCTCATGAATAAATAAAATTTTTTTAAAAAGTCTTTTTTTTTTTTCAAAAACTTTTAAAAAAATTTTTGAGGAATTTTTTATTCCTCATTCTTCATCGTTTAATATGTATAAGTCTAAGAGGCGGGGCTTGGATCTAGGTTTGAGAAGACATCTGACACAGTGTGAAGAAAGTAAAAGCAAAGCAAGCCTGATAGAAGTTCCAAAATAATGACAAGCCAAGTAAAGTATTCATTAAATAGGGAAATAGAGCAAGTTCTGTTTTGAGTGCTTATGGCAAAAATTGCTGACTGCTCACCAAAATCCATGCTCTCCTCTACTTCCTAGAATAGCTGACAATTCCCACTCTCGGTGGTTAGGAATGGTTATGCATCTAACCAATGGAGCATGAATGCTCATCACTGGCTGGTTAGCCCACCGTCCTCTCCCATCAGCTCCTCAATATCCTTTTTCCTTGCAATGAATCTCTCAGGGTGACCTTGGAAGTCTTTTCCTGAATATGTCAGAAACCCACCTGGGCCTCTGCATCACGCCACGCTCAAGTACCAGGTCTCACGCCCATTGTTACATGAGCTGGAAAACCACGTCTATACTGTGTTTGGTCCAAATATATGCTTGGGCCTATTTTTTAAAGCAATTAACCTTCTCTAATGCAGCCCTCAAATAGAATAAGAAACAGATTACATTCAAATTGCTCTCATTTGTGTTGTTACAAACATATGTAAGCAATTACCTACTACATAATTCAATACACTCACATTTAGCCGACTAGATCAAACTATGTAGCTCCACTCGATTGGACAAGATGATCGGCTTCACTACAGAATTAAGACTTGCAAGAGATAATGTTGGTGAATAAGTTACCTAGTTTAGATATGTGTTTGTGTAATTGGCTGGTAATGATATCTGTGATTACTACTACTGATAATGCGATCAATATGGGGGAAGTGTGTAGACTCCAATGAATGGAACACTACATTAGCTCCAAGTAATTGGCCCAGTAGGGAGCATGTTTAGGGTCCTGATGCCAAAATGCAGTCGCCCGGGATCCGTATCATCACAGAGAAATGTTGCTAACAAAATAGGGGGAAAATAGCAAATTTAAAGAATATTTCATGTACAGCTAAGTGTGTTTTGTTGAGACCTTAGGAAGCATTTATAGACGACTTCTAACTTCTGTACTATTGGGGTATAGGTTGGCATAAGAAATAGTTTTTTTGGGGGGAGGAGGTCCCGGATGGCTCAGTCGGTTAAGCAACCAACTTGTGATTTTGGTTCAGTTCATGATCTCAGAGGTCATGGAATCGAGCCCTGCATCAGGTTCCTCATTCAGAGGGGAGTCTGCTTAAGATTCCCTCTCTCCTTCTCCCTCTGCGCCTCTCCCCACTTGTGCACCCTCTCTCTCTCTCTCTAAAAAATAAATAAATCCTTAAAAAAGTAACTTAGGAATCACAGAAAAGATAACAGGGAAATGAAACAAATGAGGGAAGTTAAGGAAATAGATAAAAGATTGCCCATATGCACCTGTATCGTTTCTCCTCCCATCCCGTCCCCCTAAATACACACATAGCCTCTCCTCCTCCTTCCATTTACTAGAGCTTGTAATGAAATATATCTTTAGACATACGAGAGTATATTTTTTATAAGAAGAAGATTAAAACCAGACAATATTAGCTGTTTTTGAAATGCACTGGTCTTGGCTGGCTTTGTTTTCACTTAAGATCCAAAACTACTTTTTAAAGACTGCTCTAAATTCTGTGAATGTTAACTCTTGAATTTACTGAGATGGGTGGCTTGCACACAAATAACCTATTTTATGAGGTTTTTTTTTTGAAAAGCATTTGGCTTCTGGGTGCTTGAAACATGGAAAAAAAAAACAGCACCATCAGACTCTTCAGAGCATCATACCCCAGGTTTCGTTAATTGAATATTCATTTAAAACCAATAAATTACCTACTACATATTTCACAAAATGTACCTGTCTCTTAGGGCACAGATTTTTAAAGCAATTACTGAAAGGCTTAATTAAAAAAGTGTACGATTTTATCTATTACCTTTTGTTATTCATTGTTAAAGGCTTTTATGTGTTCTTTGTGGGAAGATCGTAAACTCCAGTAGTCCTCAGAGCACCATGGAATAA